ACTCCCAGAATTCCTCAGCCAGCTAGAATTCTGGGAGTTGAAGTCCATGCTTCTTAAAGTTATTGAGGTTGAGAAAGATTGAAGTATACCATAGTCCAGTGAGGGAGTTAGGCTGTGAGTGGAAACTTGGTCCAAGATCAGCAGTGAGCTTTGTGGCTTAATAAGAGTTTTTATTTCAGATTTCCCCAGTTGTCATCTGAAAGCTAATTATGGTGTCCCACTGGCTCACATAACAACGCTAGTTGTGTTATTCCATCTCTCTTCACCCGCAATTGCTATGGAAGTCAGCCAGAGTTCCCAAAGTGTCCTTTGAGCAAATGCAGAAGTATTAAATATATTTAAATAAATACAAAATAGAGCCAAAACATGGTTTGTGAGCAGCAGGTAAAAAGAACATTATTGTATAAGGAAAAACCCACACACTCCAATCAAATGAGTTTTAGTTGCACAATAGCAGAGAACAATATTCTTAACCCATCAACTAAGTAGGGCTGTGCTGGTAGAAGCATTTAAGCTAATAATCTTGGTAAAATATAAATTTGGTTTGTGAAAATTAGCACAGATCGAAGAAGAACACATGCAGACTATTGTTCCAATGAAGGTATTGTTGAATCAACAAGGGGACAAAGGCGGTCCTGGATATTAGCCGATGCTAACACCTAAACAGATATCAATTTAAGTCTGCGTATATAGTGACTTAGGTGAGCTGTTGGTTTTCTCATCATATGTGCTCTCTTTTGTAGTTTGGTGTTCATGAGGAGGACTTTATATCTGAAGGCCTTAATTTTCAGAGGCACAATCCCCTGTAGCTAAAATTCCTAACAAAAATGTGAAAATCTTTCTCTCCTAGGAGAAATTGTAACCTATCAATGGGATGTTCCTGAAAGATCTGGTCCAGGACCAAACGATTCAGCCTGTTTGAGTTGGATCTACTATTCCACAGTGGATCGTGTCAAGGTGCGTGTTTTTCCATTCCTCAGTGTTGATGGCCTCTCCCAGGGTGGGATGGAGCTGTCCAAGGAAGGGTTAGTGGTCAAGGTGGAGACTAGGAATGGCTGAACCCTAGCCATGGCGACTTTGAGGCTGTCATTCTCCCTCAGCCAAGATTACCTCATGGACTGGCGGTTGTGGGGAAAATGACAGAGGAAGTCTCATGTATGTCATCTTGAGCTCACCAAGGAAGTGGTGTGTGTGTGTGTGTGTGTAATATACCCCTCACAAACAAATCGGCATGCTAGAAGCTGTTTAGTCACTTCACAAAAATAAATAATAAAGCAAAAGAGACATGAACATACATGAGGCTCCTCAAAGCAGTTTTCCTACCTCAGTTTTTCTCTTCCTTTTGTTCTTCCTGCATGGAAAATGAAGGAGCAGCTTCTCCTCCTTTCAAAGAAGTCTGACCTGCAGCTTATATAAGCTGCCCTTCCCTCTGCCATGAATTTAGCCCTGGTTATTTCACATTACGTCCTATTGCTGCCCTAACTGAGCCCAGAATTAGTCTTATTTAAATCATGCCAGTTGTTAAGTGGGTCACTATGTGTCCACACCCAGTTTTACAATCTTTTTTTGCAGCGGTCATTAAGCAAATGTCATTGTAAAGTAAACCCCATGGTCATTAAGTCAATACTGTGGCCATTTAACTAAACTATTGTCATTAATGGGCGCTATTTGCCAAAAACCTGAAGTAAATGCTGGGTTCTGACAAAAATGTTGTAAATTGTGATCATGTGACCCTATGGGGGGACACTACAAATGGCTGTAAATGAGGTCCACTTGCCAAGCACCCAAAATAGGACTGCAAGACCACAGGGGGCGGACAGTCGTCAGAATTTTAAATCCAGGTTGTTGGTCTGGGAAAGTCCGTTGTAACTGTAAGGGGTCAGTTGAGGACCACTTTAGCAATGGCTGAGGCAAAACAAGCTGAGTAGGATTGGACTGAGTTTTACTATTCCTTTATTCTGGTGTGTCACACCTATTTAAACTATTTAAGGGCTTACCTGATGCAGCTGGCTGTGCTCTGCGCTGGTGTGTTAATGAAAAGTGTGTGGAGTTCTAGCAAATGTATGCAAAGAGTTTTTGCTGTCTCCTTTCCTGGCAGGATTTGTACAGTGGGCTCGTTGGCCCCTTGAAAGTTTGTCGTAAAGGGACCCTGGATTCTAACGGGAGAAGGAAAGGTGTGAGCAAGGAATTCGCCCTCCTCTTTTTGGTTTTTGATGAAAATCAGTCTTGGTACCTTGAGGAGAATGTGAAGATTTATGTCCAAGGGGATTGGAACCGTTCCCACCAGCAGGACGAAGAATTTATGGAAAGCAACAAAATGCATGGTTTGTAGATATCTTACGCTTTTTGTATTAGCGCCAGTGGTGGGATTCAAAAAATGTTTATTATCGGTTCTGTGGGCGTGGCTTGGTGGGCGTGGTGTGGCTTGGTGGGCGTGGCTTGGTGGGTGTGGCAGGGGAAGGATACTGTAAAACCTCCATTTCCCTCCCCACCCCACTAACCTGCTTTGCCAGGTCGGATCTCCTGTGCAGAAGACCCCCATCGATCAGCTGGGACTCGGGAGGCAGAGAATAGATGGGGACGGGGCCAGTCAGAGGTGGGATTTGCCAGTTCTCCGGAACTGGTCAGAACCTGCTGAATAACGCCTCTGATTAGCACCCATGAAGCACCACCCTTCTTGCAACACACGTTGCAAAAAGAAAATTACCTCTCTTCCTGATTTGATTGTTCCACGTGCACATTCCACTTGAGAATGGTGTGAGGTTTCTGGAGAGTCAATATGCATACAACTTTAATTTCCTTAGGAAGAGCTCATTAGATAGAGGTTTTGTCATAAAAAAAATCATTTTCAGTAGAAGAAAATATCTGTAGTTCAGGGTTGAACTTATTGCTCTCTGACCTTGGTTATTTACTTGCAGATGTTTTGTAGCCCTAGTAGGTAACCTCATCAGTGTAAGTGAATGTGGGGTTTGTTCTCTGTTTGTATCTAGTAGCCTGCTCTGCCTGTGTTGGTGAAGGTAGGTGTGGTTTTTTCCCCCTTGCTAGTTTCCTGATTACGGTATTGTTTTCTGCTCGATTGTTTGTCTGATGTTAATTACTGTTTATCTGGACGTTAGTTGTTAGATAAGATGCGTTCTGGTATTTTTGTTTCTGTCTTAGCTTTTTTTATTGTCTCTTTTAGCCTAGTGTCTAAATGTTTATCTATATTACCTATTAATGGTTTTGTCTGAATGCCAAGCTTAAAGGAATTCCCTAGCATTTTTGGATTTAACTCTTCTGGGAAGTTGAGTTGTGATTTTGGAAATGGAGCATTTGCTTAGTGTGGGTTGTTGTTTTTTTATAGAGTTTTGTTTCTGATTTGCTATCATTTCCTCTGCTGATAACGATATCCAAAAATTTTCTTCTTCCCTTTTGAATTTTATTCCTTTCAAGAAGTTGTTGGATTGTTTCATGTGTCAAAATGCTTATAATCCTGGACCTCATTGACATCTGCCTCACTACCCAGGTTTGATGAATAGATACATCAACAAATCAGAGGAAAAGCCATTCCCAAGACTCGTAGCAGAGGTGGCAATGCAGCATCTAGAACCTGTAGCGCTCCCAGTAATACCATCAAAACTATGGATCCAGTAGGTGTGTCATCATCATCATCCAACAATGAAAATCATATTGTACAATTTAAGAAGATGCTTGGTTGATACCTAGGATGCTGCCTGCAACCCGTATAAACCATCAGTGCCAGTCAATGATATTTGTGATACATTTTTAAATGTTCAGTTGACTTGAGTTTTGTGTTTCATGAATAAAAGAGATAATAAAAATCATAATAGAAAGGAAGAAACAAGAAAAGACACATGAAACAATAACTTCAAAGGAATAAAATGTCTTATGTTTATTATTTGTTTAGTGAGTTTTTATAAGGATTTAATTGCTAGATTGATGAGGTGCATCGCCTTGAGTTGTGCGCTATGTGGATGGCTGTATAAAATATATAAGCAGGCCGATTTGGAGAACAACTGTTTTCTACCTCTACAAAGCAATTTCAGGTAGACCTTAGGGCCATAATGGAGCCAGCCAGTTAAAGTTGTAACTCATGACAGTTGTAATGTGTGTCATCATGTGACTGACCCAATTGTATGAGGGGTTGTTTTTTTTTTGGTACAAATTAAGTGAACCTGGGTTTTGGCAAAAACCTCGTAAATCGTGGGCACATGACCACAGGTTGCTGCAAATAGTGGTAAACGCAGGCCGTGATCACATGACTGCGGGAGAAGGGACAGTGGTTGGAACTTGTAAGTATCTTTTGGGGGTCCATTGTAACTTTGAATGGTTGCTAAGCAACTGGCTGTAAGTTGAGGATTACTTGTATAGACATTTTGGTCCATATCATTTATGATAGCCTCTGTGACAGAAGACAAAAGACAGAGAAGAAGCCAAAAGTCGAAAATGTCGCCGCAAAGTGAAGTGCAGTTCAAAGTCCTCCTTGGGGTGGAGATTGTAGGTTGGCTGCATCGTTTGTGGTGGATGTGATCCAGTCAGAGGCAGAGAGAAGAATTGCTGACAGTTCTGCAGAGGCAAAGGCCCTGATCCTGAGGAGAAATGCAAAGGCTCTCACTTTGGAAGGGGAAGCAGTTCTTTGATTCTTTGTGAGACAAAGGTCCTGCCTTTATTAAGCAGAAATCTCTTCTTTCCTTAGCAATCAATGGTAAAGTATATGCAAACTTGCCTGGCCTGGAGATGTGTGAAGGAGACTGGGTGAACTGGTATTTGCTGGGAATGGGCCAGGAGATTGACGTACACACTGTTCACTTCCATGCAGAGACATTCATCTACCGGGTGAGACTCCCCCCAAAATGATACAGAAGCTTCCCCCCACTTCACTTAAAGAACAAATCTAGGGAAGGATCGGGCCTCCTGTCTTGCAGTTAGTTTGGGTGTCCCAAGTTGGCAGGTTGGTTTCTTTCCTCTCCCCAGGTCTTCCCAAGCCAACTAAGTTGAGCAAACTTATAAAATGCCTAACTCTCTGGCCATGGAATTGGAAGTAGCTAAACATTACCCTCTGGCCATCACTCCTATTCTAGATTTTCACTCTTTGTCCTTCCATTTTGTGTATCAGAATGGCAAGAGTTACCGGGCTGATGTGGTGGATCTCTTCCCTGGGACCTTTGAGATGGTGGAGATGCAGGTTGGCAATCCTGGCACCTGGCTTCTTCACTGCCACGTGGCTGACCATATCCATGCTGGCATGGAGACGCTTTTCACAATCCTACCCCGCCAAGGTAAGAAGAAAGCTCGTGGTGCAAGTGGGTCTCAATCTGTTTGGGGAGCTGTGCCCATCAAAATCACTCCGTGGCTCCGAGGCACATCCAACCCCCTTGGAAACCAAGGATGAAATTCCAGAACTAGGAAAGCTTCAGGATAAGCGATGAATCAGTAGAGAACAGCAGCTGGGAAGACCAGGAAAGCTCATGGTGTTGTAGCAGATGTGCTTGCTTAGCGATGAATTGTGGACAGAGAAGAATGTGGATAATTGGAAATAATTGGAATTGGACTTCTCTGTCTAAGTCCAGTCCAGGTCCATTCCAGTGTTCAATTCAATCAGAACCCATTCAAAACTTCAAATTTAGTCGCTAATCCAGCAGCACAAAGGAGTTCCGGGCATAAATGTCTATTTGCCTCAGTTCAAGAGTGGAACATTGTGATGCTAAGGAAAAAGGAGATCTGGATTCACTTCTCTTTGTAGAAGCTGGATTCCATGCATGGATCTCTTGTGCTGCTGTGTGTGTCCTCAATCTCCCTTTGTGCTTCACAAAACGGTCCTGATTCTGCCATTTATTTCTTTTCAGATTCAGAACATTGCGGTTACAATGTGTTCAAAATTACAGGTACTGTGTTTTCTTTTCATATTTCTCTTCAGATAACTCTTTCAGATATCATGATTGATAGAGATATTCCGAGTTTGAAATCTTTTCTCCCTTCCACTGTTCTTTTCCCGTGATCCCAAATAGTCACCCTGGAATATTGCTAATCTCTTCCAAATCAAGACTCCAACTTTGCACACCCTCCAGCAATTTTTCCTCTATCTTCTGGAAATTCACTTCTGAATCTTAACTGTCGAGCCTTTATTTATCATAGCAAGATTGCCTCTTACGCATGGTTTTCAGATTTCAGCCTGTGGTTTAGGTGAAACTGCTGGGATGTAGCTGTGGCATTTTGGCTGAAGTGCAGTTAAACATCATGCTCAACCATGCTGTACCTGAATCCTATGCAAACAAGCTGTTTTAATCCTTGCCTTTGGCTTGCCAATTTCAGGAAAACCAGGGACTAGTGTAATGTATGAATCCAGACTTAAGCTCAAGAATGACACAACTGGAAGAGATTCTGTTCAGTCAGCTTGGTTCAATCCCAAATTCTAAATGATTTCACAAGATTTCCAGTTTAGCCATGTTCTCCATTTAGGTTTCCAACCGTGGGGAGCTTTTGATTGACTTGAGTCGGCTATTATACAATTATCACGATTGTTCTCCGGTTTTCAATGGTTTAAGTTATTGAGTTCCTCTTGGTCCTTAGTTTGACTTTTTTCATAATTTCTTTGACTTCCAGCAGAAACTTCTGAAGAGGTAGCTGGGGATCCTTCTGTAGAAGACCCTGCGGAAGCTTCTGAAGAAAATATCTCCCATGACATAACTTTGTTTGGCTCAAGGCTAGACCACGAACACGTAGAAGCGGCAATTATTACCCTTGCGGTGGCTGGGGTGGTGCTCTTCATCACCGCCAGCGCTCTTCTTGGAGTGATCGTTCACCTCAAGAGACAGAAGAGGCTGAGACGCAACAAGCGGTCTATATTGGATGAAAGCTTCAAACTGATGCGAAGTCAAAAGCATGACCTTTAGAGAAGAATGGAAGAGATCCTGGAAGCTTTTAAGCCAGGAAGTAGTAGTGAAAATGGCCCAGAATAGGATTTAGCAATCATTTTCTGAAAATTCAATAACAAATTTTACTAGTAAGTCCTTCTGCCTGTTATATCCACTCTACATTTTAAGGTTTCAGGTATCCCAAGAACTCGGATGGATTCCCAGATCCTTCGTTGAATGACAGGACAGAACCTTAAGTAAAGCCCTCCAGAGTTATGGGCGGACAATACATTTGATAAATAAGTAAGTAAATAAATCCAGACTGGATACTTAGTCAAAACCCCTCAGGTCAACGGTTCCCATCATCTTGCATCAGCTTATTCCCTACCTGATGCTACAGTACAACCTGAGACCTGAATCTCTTGCCTTCCTTCATTCCTGAGTCAAGTCAACATTATGTGAGATTAGCTAATTACGTTTCTATGTGTTGAACATAACACTTGGTTGGGGAGAAGCAACAGGCACAGAGAAGGTTCTCCAAGAGGACAGGGCAACAAGCATTTCTTTGAAACAGGTTTCAACCGTGAATTGTGGAATTCCCTTGCTTTGAACTCCTTTCATTCCTCAGCCATTGTTTATTTCAGAAGAACTCCTGTTTGACTCAACCACCCTAGGACTTTCTACCTAAAAGGCCAACGATGATAAAACTGATCTGGCTTATAATTAAAAGAAGTGAAATAATCGTAGTTTGGGGATCATATTTGTTGACCAATCTTTCCTAAACTAGGAACCTGAGTTGGGATTGCACCTCCCAGAATTACTGGCATTGCGGAAAGTGGGGGAAACAATTGTAGACATGGGAGGGTGACAGTGAGAATAAGTGAAGAATTGTAATTTGGCATTAATTTATTAATGTCAAGATGGCACCATTATGGACTGGTTCACATCTTCATTATACGATTGTTGGTACCTGTTGAGAACCTGATTTCCATCCAGATTTCAAGAACCGAAAGGGCACTAAAGGAGCCCTGGACCTTAGCCTGATGCTCAGGTTCAACCAAAGACCCGAAGGTGGTTAAGGCTTCTGATCCAGAAAAAGAATTTGGCAAAGGCCTTCACCATTGAAACAGAACCAAATATTTTAAAGATCAGAATGAAAGGAAAATGAAACACCGCAGGGTCTGAGGACGGTATCCCTGTTTCTGGTGTTCAGTTCAGTTTGCCAACTAAACTTGGTGAAAGATCCAAGATCTTTATTGAAGACTTATCCGTGTAGATGGGTAGAAATTCATTCATTCTTGGTTTTTTTAATAAGAAAATGCCAACATTTGTTGGTTTGCCAATAAAAAGTGATAGAAACAAATTAAGTTTAAAAGAGCCTCATATGGGGGGGGGAGAAAATCATTGCCCCCCACAGCGAGCTATGGCTTCCTCGGTTCCCAAGGTGGCTTCCCAGAGAGGCCAGGGATGGAGATCAGGCAGACTCCAGCCCGAGGCTCTGGGGGGCTCTGGGAGACCCCAGGTGTCCGCTTGCTTTGCTCCACGGATCTCTGGATCATAATAGGGGCATTTCGTCAAATCTTCAGAGCAGAGGTGGCACGTGGTGAGTGCCCAGCACCCGCTGCTTCTGCCGCGCTCCAGACAAGCTCAGATTACCTCATGGGCATGCAGATGCATCGGACGGCTTTTGGGAAACCATCTCGCTACCCGTTGGGCGCAGGAGTGTCGATGTGTTCTGTCTCCCACAAGCACCAAACAATGCCAGTTGCTTTCTGTGTGGAAATGAGTTGTTTGGGTGTCAGGGTTTACAATAAGACAACGAACGCGCTCCTCCCAACCTTGTTTCTTGGAAGTTTGCTCTCAGAGTCCAGCTGGCTTTTTGTACAGGATCAACCGGCCATACGGTGAAATCCTGCCATTTCACCACCTACTCCAAATGGCACCGGACGGTCAGCGCTCCCCTCTGAGGCCCTGCATAGAATGCCACACAATGCCCGGCCATCTGTGGCATCCCACAGGGAGGGTGGAAGTCAAATGATCTCTCCGGTGGCAGGAACAAACCTCTACGTGGCCCTATCCTGCTGGCACCAAAGAGGAACTAGCCAAGAAGAAGAGTTTGGCACGGGGAGAGAATGGCCACATTCTGGGTCAAGACTTCCAAAGGAGAAGGGGAGGGGTTGGGGATTAGGAATTTTCACCCAATATGGCTGAGTTTTTAAAAACAAAAGCCAGCATCCTGGAGGAGTCAGGCCCACCTTAGAAGGGAAGTTCCTCAAGGACTTTGGCCAAAGCCTCAACAGGGAGAGGTGAGGGTCGGGGTAAGGGGGCAGAGAGTGGGATGGGGGGAAGGGCGGCCCTCGGTTCCAGGTCATCAGAGTTTCCCCATTTTCGCATTTTTCATCTGTCTCCCTTTTTAATTTGAGCTCACGTAGTAGGCACCTTTGCCTCGTTGGGTACAGTGTAACTTCCTTGGGCTGTACCCATTTCAGTCAAAAGACACATATGAACAGCAGAAGAAAAGACAACTATAGAATAAATACTAGGATTCTTAAAGTCAACACGGCCACTAAAACGTCATTCATGATTCATTCTGGAGAGATAATGTATCTTTTCTTTTATGTACATTGAGAGCATTTGCACCAAGACAAATTCCTTGTGTGTCCAATCACACTTGGCCAATAAAGAATTCTATATTCTATTCTATAATTATAAGCCTCTAAAACCACGAGTTATTTGGAGGGACCGATCAAAGTGCCACGGAGGCCATTGGTCGAAAGGACTCCGGCTACCACCAAGGACCCTTTGGGTTAGAGGCAAAAAAGCAGAAGTCCAAGGCAACCGTTCTGAACCGTTTTCCTTCCTGAGCAAGGAAAGTTTACATGAAAGGAGAGCTCGGCAAACCGCGTTTCGGTGAAGAAGAATCGATTTTATTTCGCAATGCCTGCTCCCTTAGGCAGAGACACAGAGGGCGTGTAGGATAAGGCGTAAAGAAGAGGAAAACGGTTTAAGGCCTGGGTTCCAGGAAGGGATTCAGATCCATTTTCATGCAATCTGGAGCCTCTTTTCCCCAAGTCACATTGTTTGCACCGTTGCTGAAGGCAAGACATTGGAAAGAAAGCATTGCCATTATCCAGTTAGGAAAGAAACTTTACAGGTAGAAAAGGGATGGTTTAGCAGCACAAGTTCCTTTTTTAAATGCAAGTCACCTATGAACAAAAATCTTTGGTCCAGATCAGCGTGGTTAGAATTGCCCATGGAAAACGGAGTGAAGCAGCATCTTGGTTTCCCATGATAAACAGTAACACATTCCTCCTCCTGTTTCGTCTCCATACCTGTCTTCTGCTTTGGCTTCTATCTGCTACTTCTGTCTTCTGTCTGTCTTCTTCTGCTTCTGTGTTCTGCTTCTGCTTGTCCCAAAGGTGCTTTTTTTCAAGAGGCAACTGGACTTTCTGGTTTTTGTTTGAAGAGGTTTCACTTCTCATCCAAGAAGCTTCTTCAGCTCTGGCTGAATGGTGGGGAATGGAAGAGCTGAAGAAGCTTCTTGGATGAGAAGCGAAACCTCTTCAAACAAAAACCAGAAAGTCCAGTTGCCTCTTGAAAAAAAAAAGCACCTTTGGGATAACCCTGACCTGGAGGACGGAGAATAAACCTTTTTAATTGGATTTTTAAGTTTGTCATTCTGTATTTATTTATTTTATTTGTCAAACATGTACAAGATAGCAAGTATAAATATGAACATAAACAAGAACAAGGGGAGTAAATACAGATATCTTCATTATTAAATGACATTAATATTAACAGGGCAACTGGAGACCTAGGAGCTGCAGAGCAGGCACTGAAGACTGTAAACCCGTTTCAAAAGCTTTAAACCGAGTTAAAAATGACTGAATAAGGAACAGAAAACAATGTCCTCCTGTGGTCAAAGTAGGAATCGCAGCCCCAAAAGGATCCTGAACTTGTCTTCTGGGGTGTTGGCTATTCCTGCCAGTTTGGATGAAAACTGGATGAATTCTCCCTCTGTTCCCTCATCTAAGTCATTAATGACGATATTGAAGAGTACTGGGCCTAAGACGGAGCCTTGTGGTACTCCACCGCTTTCTTCTCTCCATGTGGATGTAGTATCATTATGAACTACCCAATGAGTATGGTTTGTCAGCCAGTTACAAATCCATCTGGTGGTGATGCTTTCTATCCCAAATTTTTTCTAGCTGACCAAGAAATAGGTTGTGATCTACTTTATCAAAAGCTTTACTGAAATTAAGTATACTACATCCGCAGCATTTCGCTGGTCTACTAATTTAGACATTTTATCAGAGAATTAAATAAGATTGGTTTGGCATGATCTGTTTTTAACAAACTCATGCCAACTCCTAGCCATAATTTTGTTTCTATATGTTCGCAGATCTAATTTTTGAGGATCTTTTCCAGGCTCTTCCCGGGTATTAATGTATAGGCTGATTGGTCTGTAGTTTCCTAGATTTGTCTTTTTTCTTTTCTTCAAGATCGAAACCATATCAGGCCTTTTCCAATCCTCATGTGCTTTCCCAGTGCTTACGATTTTTTAAAGCTATGGTACAGTTGTTCTGAGATAACATCTGCAAGCTCCTTCAGAACTCTGAGGTGTAATCTGTCGGGTCATCATGATTTATCTTCATCAAGATCAGATAGATGTTCTCTTACCATTTTTTTTGCTTATGTAAGTTTTATTTCTAATCTGTCTTTTTGGGGGTAGGTTGGGCTATATCAAAAGGGTTTATTTCTTTTTGTG